TATGAGGCTCACAGGTGAACACCGTTGTAGTTGGACTGTATGTTTTGTTTTTGTTTTTTATGCAGTCAGTATGAGACGAATTTATACTCTCACACCCTATACCAGCGTTTAGTGGATCAGTGCCCCTATCCCACGGGAACTGTTACCAATATCAAATAACGATGTATGTACTACGCCTTCAAGATACAATAGTTGTGGGTACGAAAGACTTGGGTAGATTTTAAGTACACTTACATCATATCTACGTTAAGGCACCATCTCTGTGATACTGTCAATACAAAATTACTGTATTGTATTTGTTCTGTGCCAAGTAACTGTAGTGACGTTCGTGGACAGGTTTACTCAGCTTTACTTGTTGAAGACTACACATCACAGTAGACCTACGATGGTGTGGGATAACTGTCTTAATATATATATATATATATATATAACAATTTCAGCGAGGTTATATTTGGTTCTAAGGTAACTTTCCTCAGTAAACTCCGTCCTCGTGGAATTTGATCTCTATCCCGGCATCTTACACCCTAAGCCCAGTACTCTTGACATACCAGCGGGACAAGTAGCATGAGATAGTCTCCATTGGCAGAGTTTGGCTGGCGAGTGCCCGAGCGCGTTCTGGCAGAATTTTACTCTTATCCGGGCATGACGTACGTTAATTGGTCCTTGTCCAGTATGACGCTAACAAGTGTCCATCCAAATATTGCCCCCTCCCCCAAAAAATGTTTCAGTCTAACCTAAACTATCAACAAACATAAAACTAACTTTCGTAACTTAGTACAGTAGTTGAAACACTACAGCACATAATGATAGGTGGGAGCCATCACCGTGCGTAAGACCCACTTAGGCATGGATTTTACTTTATCACTGCTCAGCCACCGTCGCCGAGTTGCACAGCATTAAATGCAGCATGATGTGAAAGTCAATGTGTACACCACTTAGTATTACTGGTGAAAGGGCAGATAGTTCCTACTGCGCCTGGCATCATGTTTGTGTGGTGGGCCTTTCTACTGTTGTGTTATGTGGTAAGTTGTTGTTATTACATATATTTATTACTATATTTGAATAGCCAGGTTACTGATACATCGATTACTATTTATCCTATACTACTACTACTACTAATACAAATAATATATTCATAATTCTATACCTTCTATTATCATTACTTCAGTTACTATTGGCTTGTTTCTCTCAAAGTTTGGAATTTCGAACCAGAAATATGCAACACATAATACCTACAACGAAAATGGGACAAAATGCACATGGAACACAAAAAACAGACGTGAACACAACAGATGGAACACAAACAGACGAGGACACAACACAAGCAACAAAACACACGTGGACACCACACATGGTGCATAAAAGCACAGGTGGAACAAACAAGAGAGGGAGGAGACGGTGTAAAGAGAGACCCAGGCAGTAACACGCAGGAGGCAGCCTTAGCTATAAGTTTCCAGCTGTTTGTGTTGGAAGTGTGTGGCTGTGTGCGCGTCGGGGTCTTTCCTCACGCGCTCTATATTTAATTCTCGTTGCTCGTGAAATATTAATTTGTAATTGTATATATCACGATCATCGTAGAATTAATGTAGCGACAATAATGACACAGGAAATTGGTAATGTTTAATTGTACAGTATATTATAACAACAAACGTTGGTATGCTGGCAGATGTAAACAAGAGGTTTTGGCAAGAGTAGTGATGGGTATTGTATTACCATGCCAACCTACCGTGATGTTCCCCACCCCCCACACACAAGTTTTAGCACACTTAGACTGTACTTCCCAGGGGCGTTTTCCCTCCACTCTTATTTCATTCAATCATTTGTTACTGAAAACAACGGTACAGGTGCATGTACTGTATAAGCTCAAAAACTGGAATTTCTGGATGATGGTTGTCGTTCATATAAAAACTGTGTACAGACAAAACACAATGGGATTAATGTATCGGTAAAAAGTAATTGTTTTTCAGGAGGGGTCTGACGAATTAGGAACTGAACAATCCTGTTGTCTCACTAGGGTTGGTAGGCGTGGTTGTGAGATATTTCCTACCTATTATGGTAGGCTTAAATTAGTGATTTAATTCGAAATATAAAATTAGTTCGTTGCAATATGATGGGTGAATAACAGTATGCGGTATGTGCCTCTATCAAAAACCTTCGTTTCTGGTGTCATTTTGTTTCGCACAAGAATTTTAAAGATAGTTTTTTTTTACCCAGTGTACATTATCATGACGCAACATCTTGCTGAATTAAACCATTAAGACGCACAATACGTATACATTTGTCACACACACACACACACACACACACATCAAAACTGGCCATGAACTTTAATTTCCGGTTAGAGGGACCATGATGTATCCTGTACCAAACAAGCACTATTAACACATAATATTTGTGATTAACATTTGGTGCTGATTGACAAACCACTTGCATTCCATCCCTTACATAGTTTGTGCATGGAAAAAAAACCGCTTCGATACCAATAAACAGACGAGAACAAGAACCTTACTCACAGCATCAGAGTAAAAATATAAAGATGTTATAAGAAACCTTATGACAATGAGAGCACTGACCAAGTGACAGTGACTCATTGTCAAGTACGGATGTTTTTGGAGGGAGCTGTGGACTTCCTTAACATGTCTGGTGATGTTATCATTTTGCTGTTATGTGGTGATATTGTCTCAGCACTGTACTAGGTCACAATCTTGTAAGTTAGTTGTCAGGGTATCGCCAATGTTAAGTTAAGGATAGTAGTATCAATTAAGTGCTAGATCAGATTACCACCAGCCTGTTAATATCAACAACACGTTAAGAATATTATCAGAGTACAGTACTACACTTTGTGGGTTACAATAAAAATGTACAGTGCAGTATGTGAAATTTAAATGGTAATACAATTTTAGTCATCTCTGTTAACACCATGCTTCCAAATGTCTGCATTTCCAAAGTAATAATCAGAATATTGTGTAAAGAGACCTCAGATATTATCATTAAAATGGTAGAGTGAGAACACACAAGCAGAAACTGGTAGTTGCTTCCCGAGCGGCAGCTGTACTCTGCAAGTTGCCAGGACTGTGCATGACAGCGACCAACAACCATTTTAAACTTGTTGCTATATACAGGTACATATAATGACAACAGGGACCACTTTACGGCCGTTCATGATTCAATGTCGTGATAATTATTGTTGATGACTACTTTTGCTGTTGTCAATGCTGTGTTCTTTGTAATTAAGAGTAAGAAGTGGTCATATTCAAACAACTTTTAAAGGTGGACAAAAAATATAGTAACGTGACGTAACCTAAACCTGCGACATTATGCTGCAACGCACAACCTTCTGATTATAGCTACCAAGTCTCTTGACTGGCGCCAGGTGTTCACTTTATAGATCATAGTTTTCGAGACAGTTTGTAAACCAGGCCAACAATTTCTTCTCGGTATTGCTTACGAGTCATTTACCTCATCCCCTAATCTTCCCCAGCACAACATTTTCAAAACAGATATAAACAAAAAGTATTTACGCTCTGGCCCACATAACTTCTCGGACTAAATTTCGCGAATGCTTCTCAACAGGTTCACACAAACACACGAGGGCGTTCACCAAGTCTTGAACTGTGAGAAGGGAAAGTCATGAGAAGGTGAGGTGACCCAGGCTCAACATTCACCAACCTCACCCATCACTTACTATCACATCTCTCTCCTAGATGTAACCTAATCCCTTTTTTTTCGTCACATATGGAGTCGGTGGCCGGTACTGCACACGACAGTCTTCAATTTCCTAACTATAAAAGTAAGGTACCCGTTTACAGCTGCGTAGCCTGTATAGGAGGCGAGTACAGCATCAACCCGGCCCTCTACACCCCTACAGCGCATGCAAGTCTAACAATAGCCTGATGCAAAACATGTGACATTTACGAACTGGTAATGATGCCAAAACTTTAAGTTAAATTACTTGATAGGAAAGTCCATAAGCGACTGGACACCATCAATACCATTATCACCATTATTCACTTCCATGACCCTAATCATAATCTTGTACATAACCTTCATCAGTCTTTCATGACCCGAGGCCCAGCACAGTATGATAAGACGTCAAAGACATCTCAGACCTGGTCATAAAATGATGTTTATAATGATTGTACTGTGTAGTGGGGCTGCTTATGTAGTGCCTTGAGCTATGGAAGAGAAATAATAGACGAATGATGAAAGTTCCAGAGAAGATGATAATGATAGTGAAGGTAATTGTGATGATGATAATGGACTGAATTAACGGTGAGGGGAACGGTGAATCTGTTGTTAGTATCAGTGAAAGTGGGTGATGGTGAAAATGAAACCGAAGGAAAGAGGAAGTCGATTGGTGAAACTAGAGAGGTGATTGTCCTGGACAGTACAGTATCGCGGTTCTTTGTCATCGAGGTTACGGTATTATGCACTTCTTATGAAAAAGGCAGAATGAATTAACCAAACCCAAGCTAATTTACCTGATCTCACGTCGTTTATAATAGAGTATATTCAAGTTAGGTCAGACTGATAGGTTTGGTTAAATTTGCCTACTTAAAGATGGCTTGTACGATTTCCACCGGAAAAAAAATATATATATTTATATATGTATGTATATATATATATATATATATATATATATATATATATATATATATATATATATATATATATATATATACGGGAAAATGGAAACGGAATACCTTAGCTTTCGTCTTTATTAAGACATCTTCAGAGCATTGTGGATTTGATATATATATATATATATATATATATATATATATATATATATATATATATATATATATATATATATATATATATATATATATATATATATATATATATATATATATATATGGAACATCTAAATATTAAGACCGTCTAGTGCTAAAAATCGATGGATAGAACAACGAATTTTGCTATGATGTTTGGGAAGAATATATTGGCCATGATACTACCCGAGACAGTTAATACCAACAAAGACGAAAGTCACTCACCTTCCAATCTCCTTCTTGATATCGTAGAATGTGTGCATGTCCACATCTTGCTTGACTTTGACGTTCCTTGGGGGGAAGGGGTCAGGTAGCTCTGAGGAGGGAGAGGAACAGGGGGTCAAATTAACTATCTCCTATGTTGCATTGAAAAACACGAAGCCTGTCAGAGAATGTACCACAAATACTTAAGCCTATACTGATGAGTTTATCACTGTATTATGATATCCCGGTATTCTTTATAAATATACTTATTCTAATTTAAGTTTACAATTCATTTTGATATATCCTTTTCCAAAGTACTACTAACATACATCCCGGTAAGTAAAAATTAGCAATAGAATACGTGAGAAATTTGTAATAAAAAAAATTATCCAGGTACAAGACTGAATATAAAGTCCTGTATGTAGTATTATAAAATAGATATTGATATACCTTATTAACGATGCGTCATTCCGGTATAGTTTATGGGCCCATCAGCCAAAAGCTGCGCGCCTACAGTTCCCACCTTCGTGAATATAAACATTGATATATGTGCACCAGATTTAGGGCAGCTAATAAATAAAGCAAGTAAAGTTTGCCAGTAATAGTGAACTTCGAAGTCGTTTTGTCTACTCAAACAGGACACTGGCACGTTTCTTTGTCAAACTTACCAATGCTCAAGGTAGAAAAATAAATGTCCAGAGGAAACGATGTATATATATATATATATATATATATATATATATATATATATATATATATATATATATATATATATATATATATATATATATATATATCTTGTGCTGGACTAGCTTGCTGCAGTACAGAATCAATGCCGACCATTTCACTAGGTGTAAGACACTGAATTTTTTTTATAGCTATCGGTGTACAGAAGGAGAGCCAAATTATTACTACGTTTTTTATGGGATCTTTGCCGATGAGACTTGTCGTTTGCGTGTTTTTTCTCCTTCTCTGACACCGTATGTATATAAATTCTGTACAAGTAAATCAACATGAACATGTCAGTAAGAACCGTAAATTCTGGGCAGTAAGGCCGCCCCTTCTCTGACAACTTTATCCTTGAACGTCCATGCATGACTGTTCGACGGTTGGTGTGGGAGAGGAAAAGGCATTAGAATGTGTTTCAACACTGGTGAACGACAATCTGACGTCAGTCCTGCACTTGTGACTGTCAGATACTAAATGTTAGATCCTGATTAGTCGGAATTTCGGTGTGAAAGTTTCCTTTCGTATTCCTTGTATCGTGATGAGCGCAGTAACGTAATCCACATGTGCCATTCCAGTCAGTACGTACTTACAATGACAAGAATGGAAGTGTACAAGTAGCTTTTAATCAATGAAATTCAAGAAATTTGACCATAAAGATAAAGAATGTATGACACCAGCACAACAGCTCTCTTCCGGTATAACTGTTTAAAAATGTTTACTTCTCCAAGTAATGTAATGTCTATCACTAATTTGTCGAATTGAACAATTTGCAGTCATTCACTACCTGCCAGGTGAAAGCAAAACTATGCGTCCGGTGGGGTTTAGCATTTAGGTCCGAGGCACACCAGATCTTACTTCTTATAGGTATTTAGCACGGTCATCTTGCAAAATTCATTTCGCTATTCATGCTCTACATTTGTGAGAGACTAGATGGGGTACATAGAAAGATTTACAATAACGTGAATGTGGACTACGAAGTTTAACCTTTACAAAGAATAGACATACCATACTCTTATTTTTTCGCCCCCTAGGCCCCGTTCTGGGTCGATGACCTGTGCCCGGGTGGGCTATTACCCGTAAAAAAAAAAAAAAAAAAAATGGTGTACGATGATTCTTAACTAAAAAGAAATTCTAGTGATACAGGGAAAAAATCCGAAATACCTATTGAGATAAAAACGAAATTAACCCTTAATATTTTTCCACCACTGGAGCCTTTGTTTAAACTGAGTGTGTTTTCAAACAATGGTGAAGATTTCCTGGAGTCCAAGACCGTTATCGATCTTTGATACAAAAAGGACTGGAATAGTTTACTGCAATGAGTCACCAGACGACGTCACGATGTTAGGGGCTAATACACGCCTAAGTTGAGCCCTGGTAGGAAAAACCTTCCTCTGTTTCATGAGTTGTATACTGTAAATTACGCGTTAAATATTCAGCTTCTATTGGAGGGGGGTGAAGTGACTCGCCATTGAAGTGACTCGCCATTTTCCCAAGGACCATGTCACCTTCATCCGTGTGCACACAAGTGGATCATCACCAGAATCTGGGCTAAATTTTTATAAATTTTCGTTATACTGTTGGCGGTCTCGAAGAAATTCACGATTTATTTGCTTTATATATTTTTTGAACACTTGGTCTGGTTTATCATGGCCGATCACCTTACAGTTTCTCCGAACAGTGTTATGTGTTTATATTAGTTACCACTTCACAAGAGCTCACTTTCCTCGCCGTGTTTGTGATAACATTAACAGCCAGTTCGAATATTTAACAAAACAAACGCCCTTATGCTGACTGAACCAGAGGCTTATAAACGGTGATGACCTAAGAAGCAAAGCTACCGTATACCCTGCACTTTACGTATCATTTGCAGCTACTCATGTATTCACGTATATAATTTATTCACGAGTCTTGTGGACTTAAACTCAATAGCTATCGTAATCCATAAACAAGACCGTCTAGGTTTAGCCAAAATCTAGAAAATTAAATATTCTCGTGATATAACGAAATCAAACATTGTCTGATGTACTGTACTTTTAACTTTTAGTATAATGGCATACTTTAGTTATAGTCATACTTTCTCCCAAGCTCTCAACCTAGATACAGTACTTCTACTCTTACTGCAAAATGTGATGGTATACTGTAATGTGGTTTCACTACTACATTAGACTTCGCCGCGGTCGAATATAAACTAAACGAATATATACAATTCTAGCGACATATCCTAGTATAATTAATGTCTGCATATCTTCATACTCTAATTCTATAGCTGCATATCCTAGCGGACCTAGCCATATAACGTGATATATCCTAGCGACATATCGATAAAATACACTTCTAGCAACATTCTAGTTTAATGTAATTATCTAACTAATATATCCTAGCTTCATATTTTGATATATTATAATTCTAGTAACATAGCATGACATAACTTAAGGGTATTATTTCTAGCAACACATCCTGTAGTCTTCGTAGCCTATCAAGTTATTATGTTGAATACTGGTACCTGATGTTACTAGTTTGTCTCAATTTTAAATACCGAAATTATTACATATACTGTATACTGTATGTACATAATTGAGCGTACGTTTATGTGTGTGACATAAACATTGCTTGTGTCCCTCGCACTTCATCCATTACATAATGTTAATAAACAGCTTGGCCTCAGAACATTACCTCCTTCGGGATCGCAGTCATCGACGACAATCATCTGAAATGAAAAAGAAACAAATTTTAACGATTAAATCATTTCATAAATAAATTACGTTGGTCTTGATAGCTAACAGATACGTCAAGTCTCGCCAACGAGCCGCGTAAGGATAAACACATCACATTTATATACGTACACTTAGCTAATCAGGGATATAATTACTTATCATTAATTACTTCCAATAAAGAAAATCTAAGCGCCTGACACTCGATTGCTCTCAGTTGAAAGGACTTACGCATATAACGACATACATTTACAACTATTCGAAAGGTTATAAGCACACGGAGTCTGAAATTTACTACAATCAGAGGGACTCATTGTTGTATGTTGTTATTCGCAGGACCAGTGCTATCAAACTTCTACACGCCTAGTAGCCCTGGACCATCACCCTACCCCCCGAGCTTAAATATCGCTCTTTCATTTAGCTGGGAGAGAAGGGGGGGGGGGTGTTGGTGAGACCATTACGTGTACCACTCGAGTGCCGTCCACATATCTGAGGGTTGGCGACCACAGTCCTCCACACTAAACGTTTTCGGGCTGTTTTTACCAACCCTCCAAGGTTTGGTATCTCTGGGGACCCATTTTCTTTAATTTCATTCATCCATCCCAGTTTCTGTCTTCCCCAGGCCCCCTACTCTCAACTTTGTCCATAGTGTGTATACTGTACTCATGTTTGATTACTCTATAAATTTCATTTGTGTTTAATTCCATATTAAAAAGGCGATTCACTTTACTCTTGTCTCTTATAATATAAGACAACCAGCGGGGTCGTTGTGTACCCCTGGAAAACCCGTAGTGTACCCGTGGCCGTGGGGGTGCACGTACCGCTGGTTGAAAACCCGCCCGAGTGGTTCATATATAATGTCTCGATAACTATCCGACGAGTACACGATTGACATTTACCTGATGCTCACTGGCAGGGATTTATTCACGTTATTACATTTAGCACTGTTTAGAAGACTGCAATTATATTCAGACTGCATCATCACACTTGTTTTCATTAATATAAGATATAACATCACGATGTGTATTATGCAAACATACATAAAAACACACGAAAATATAAATAAACTACAGGGTGGTGAGTATACCTGGGCGTTGAGTCATCAGGTTGGTGCTGGCGCGGACTACACTCCCACACTTGCATTACGGTGACGCAAGTTGAAGTTCCTAACAATATCTCGCCATTTCTTGCGGTCATTGTTGTTAATTTATATTAATATTACACCAGAAGCGTTCCTTCACCTTCGTCCCAAATTGATATAAAAAGTCACTTTGGCGGTATCGACCACAAGTAAGTTTGTAATTATCTTCAGGGCTTCACGTTTCAAGGACGAAAGTATATTTTTTCCCCTCTTGTGTGTCATATACTACTAATAATTTACGATTTAGTTCAAAGAATTGGGTGCACATACCACTGGATCCCAAAATATATACATGTCACTGTAATACTGTAGAGGTAAAACTGTAAACGTCGATTTTAAAGGCAATTAAAAAAGAAAATCGTGTGTGTAACAGTTTCAAGTTTATCAGATGTCGAGAACATTTAGTTTAATCTGGAGAGGATGTTTCCAATTTGATGACAACCTGTGAACTTCTTGATGAGTGACCTTGATCTTATTATACCTTCACCAGAATGACGTGTATTCTCTGCAAAGACGAAGTTCACACACACGTGCACGATTCACATTGTTGTAAAATTTTAAAGTGTACGATACTAAGTCACCAACAGACTCAGATAGAGCCTTATGTGGGGGCTGTGCCATTTTACTTAACTTGGAGGTGCGGCCTGTGACCACTCCGAGTTAACAAAGACAGCCATGGACTCGTTAGGTTGGGTTAGGTTAGGTTAAGTTTGGTCATCTGGAAAGTAAATGGTCTATTAGTTAAGTAAATAATATATCCTTTCATTGTTCGTCTTACTTGCCACACAACAACAAATCTTAACTGTTTAATCACTTGATATGGAATTCTTGATCGTTGGATGGTGATTTTTTTTTTTATGCTGGCGTATAAACTGGTTAAAAGTTGTCCTGGTATGGTTGCCTTTCTAATTTACAAACCAAACCAGTCTCCGTGTGTGTATTTATTGTATGTCATCCTATTGTGAGTCTAATTATGCTTACCACCTGTTCTCGTTTGTGTTATTAATTGATATGTTGATGGTGTAACGTCTGTCGCCTTACCTTTTTTGCTTTCTTCCTGTTGACAACAAGAATACCCTATTTTCTTTAAGAACGGGTTAAAGTATTTCTAGATATTGTTTTTGAATTACCTTTAACCATGAAAAACAAGACTGCATTACAGTATTCTCCGGACACTGAAGCACTAGGTTAATCTGTGCTGCATTACGGTATTCTCCGGACACTGAAGCACTAGGTTACATCTGTGCTGCATTACAATATTCTCCGGACACTGAAGCACTAGGTTACATCTGTGCTGCATTACGGTATTCTCCGGACACTGAAGCACTAGGTTACTTCTGTGCTGCATTACAATATTCTCCGGACATTGAAGCACTAGGTTACATCTGTGCTGCATTACAATATTCTCCGGACACTGTAGCACTAGGTTACATCTGTGCTGCATTACAATATTCTCCGGACATTGAAGCACTAAACGGTTACTTCTGGCTGCTGCGTACAATATTCTCCGGACACTGAAGCACTGGTGAATCTGTGCTGCATTACGGTATTTTCGGACACTTACGCACTAGGTTACATCTGTGCTGCGTACAATAATATTCTCCGGACACTGAAGCACTAGGCTACATCTGTGCTGCGTACAATATTCTCCGGACACTGGGCTTTACTAGGTTAATCTGTGCTGCATTGCAGTATTCTTCGGATCTGAAGCACTAGGTTAATCTGTTAACTGCATTACGGTATTCTCCGGACACTGAAGCACTAGGTTACATCTGTGCTGCATTACAATATTCTCCGGACACTGAAGCACTGAGTTACATCTGTGCTGCATTACAATATTCTCCGGACACTGAAGCGCCTAGGTTAATCTGTGCTGCCAATACGATATTCCTCAAAACACTGAAGCACTAGGTTACATCTGTGCTGCATTACGATATTCTTCGGACTCTGAAGCACTAGGTTAATCTGTGCTGCATTACGATATTATCCGGACACTGAAGCACTAGGTTACATCTGTGCTGCATTACAATATTCTCCGAACATTGAAGCACTAGGTTACATATGTGCTGCATTAAAATATTCTCCGGACAGTGAAGCACGAGGTTACATCTGTGCTGCATTACGATATTCTTCGGACTCTGAAGCACTAGGTTAATCTGTGCTGCATTACGATATTATCCGGACACTGAAGCACTAGGTTACATCTGTGCTGCATTACAATATTCTCCGAACATTGAAGCACTAGGTTACATATGTGCTGCATTAAAATATTCTCCGGACAGTGAAGCACGAGGTTACATCTGTGCTGCATTACGATATTCTTCGGACTCTGAAGCACTAGGTTAATCTGTGCTGCATTACGATATTATCCGGACACTGAAGCACTAGGTTACATCTGTGCTGCATTACAATATTCTCCGGACATTGAAGCAGTAGGTTACATCTGTGCTGCATTACAATATTCTCCGGACATTGAAGCACTAGGTTACATCTGTGCTGCATTACGATATTCTCCGGACATTGAAGCACTAGGTTACATCTGTGCTGCATGACAGTACTTTACTCTCCGACCGTTAACAAGAAAATCAATCAAGGGCGTGGAAATGTCTCAACCGATAGATTAGTGGTTGAAAAGTTACCGTTTAATAACACTAGGTGGAGCTACCTAAGTTTAACTCGCCTACATCACAGAGAAACCCAAGGCTACTTAATCATATCCCCGATTTTCAAAAGTTCGTATCATTTTTCCGTGTTTGATGGCTGTCGGAAATGACATTGAAATTCCACCGAGACTTTACCGTAACTAGATGTTGTTAGAAATATAATTAACACATGATTGTGAGAATCTCAATTGAGGAGTGTTTGGTAATGACATATTTTTATTTTTTTCAAAGCCAATATGACCTTAAATTATTATCCAGTCATCGATAGGCTGCCGGTGTGTGTATAACCGTCGTTGTGATTATTAATATAAGCCCTTCAGCTGCTAGGTTTATTTAGTATCGTGGCTAGTTTTATTTCCTACAAGTTACAGCTCCTTAAAACAATGGAAGAAAGTGTTGTAGCGACACTTGATCGAGGTGAACATGTCTGAAACACATACTATATATATTATACGGAAGCAATAAGCATATCTCATACATTTGCTAGATCAGTGAACATACTTAATACACAACTGTTTCCCGAAGGTGAACTTGTTTTTGTGACATAACTGTACAGCCGGAGAGAGAGAGAGAGAGAGAGAGAGTGGAAATGTCGGCCTTTAATTTAAGTCAGATAAAGTTTAACTGTCTGTTATCCATTGAGGAACAAGTCCAGGCTGCAGATTCTCAGATGTTTCTAAGATAAATATTCCTCGTTATTGGAGAAATAAGACTAAGCAGTGCATAACTAGTTGACTGACGCGACAGCTTACAACTATTTCCAAAGATTACACCAAAAATACCCTAATCCATTGACCAAAAACACCTATTAGGAGACAATTAACTTAGGAGAAACTTCGAAAAAGACTCGATTTCCTAAATAAAGTTAAGTGCACGAAACTTTGCTGAGAATTTAATTTCGGCGCCATTTTTTGTATTAGTGATGTAGGTTCAGTGAGTCTGTAATATAATAGAAAATAACTTTAGCTACAAGAAAAATTAACTTGCGAATCTTAATGGACCATACCTCTAATTAGAGGCAGAAATTTAGTTAACGAACCTTTGAAAATTTAGATCCCAAGTCCGGCTTCTGAAGAAAAAAAAATTATACGTAATTGACAAAACATTTTTTTTTCTCTACTAATTTTAATACCATTTTGACTCATTATAACTTAACTGAGGGTAAATTAGTTACATCCATTCTCATGCTGTA